AAACACAACTTTAACAAGTGGGTACTATATTCAGCAGGGACTAGAGAGGCATAACATCAAATAGTCATCACATCACCTTCCCCAACATATTCAATGATAAACTCTCCTTGTTTGATTTCTTCTTCTGCTACAATCCCTGATCCGCATTTCTCTGTCTACAAGATACAACTACTATAGCTAACAAACCAACAACAAGAAAAAACGCTAAATCCCACACTTGTTACCTGAATTAACTTCATTTTCTTGACATGCCGTTGTTGGAACGGCTTATTGTTACACTCAATCCCACACTTGCAACTGGAGGAACAGCTTGAGAATAGCATCCTACACAAAGATAGATCATGAAAATGCTCTCTTGATAAGTCAAGAAAGTAGAATCAAATAACCGAGGCATACCCACAATGGCAATTACTACCACAAACAGTTGAAGAAGAACCATCAGACAATGAAGAACAAGAACAAAATATCCCATCATCTTCAATCCTCCTTTTGATTTTCTTCGTCAAGTATATATCTTAAACTAGCTAAAGGCAAATATCAAATCTGATGAAACGAAATCTGCAAACGAATTTAAGATTTTGCAAAAGAAAAAGGATACTGCGCCTAATGAAGATGTAAGGAGTAGGTTTCCCTTTGTTCAACCAATCTGGCAATTCAAATTCTTCATATTCACCAATCTGCTTCAATAGCTTGTTAAAAGCTTGCCCTATGTGATTCCGATCGGAAATCTGAGAAAAACCCATCTGAAAAAAATTTCAGATGTTATGAAAACCCACAAGTAAGGTTTTAAGGAACCGGAGATTCATTTCGAAACGAACCTTTTTCGCGGCGGGCATGGTCGGATACTTCTATTGATGGAGAAATTTACCAATAAGAAGGTATTAAATCAGAGAAGCAAGCAAGATTTAAACTTCGAGTCTAATGAAGTTAGGGGAGATAATGGTCTCCGTAAGGTTTGGAACTCGAATTTTCGAAACCCTAATTAGGTTAGTTGAAGTTGGTGTTGAACA